GGAAATGATTTCAGCCTTCATTTTATTTGCAAAACTCCTTCTCCACTTGTGGCCTAAACCCATTCGAGGAAATTAAGGTATTTGCAGAAAGTAGAAACTTTAGAGCTGTACAACTTCAAGCCTTACCGTTTCATAATTATCACCCTTGTGTGCGCCTTAAAATTAAATGTTTCTCAAATAATCTGAAGGGATCACCCTCCTCATCATCTTAAAGTATTCAAAGTTTATTTGTTTGTTTTCTTCTTTTTTTTTTTCTTTTTTTTTTTGAGTACTAACTTAAACTCCGTTAGTAGACCCATTTCAATTACTAATGTGTTAAAAAAAAATCTTTATCATTATTGATGTGGCAAAATGTGTTGATTGGAAAATCTCACATTAAATATATAATAATGAAACATATAAGTTAAATATAAAGAGAATTATTTTACCTATTATTAATTAGTTTTAGAATGGATGTAAATTTTATATTGAAATTCATATACCTAATTTTTATATGTATTAGAATCTAGGTTTTGTTCTTAGGGGGGCCATTATTAGCTCACCTAATAGGATCCGAAATTCATACTAACTTGCAATGAGGTGTATTAAGTTACGTGACAGAACTCAACGTTCATACCAGCCTTGCACACGAAGAGACATGTTGAGTGACAAAATCTCACATTGAAAATATAATAAAAAAAAAACATATGAGTTAAATATAAAGAGACTGCTACGTGACAGAACTCAACGTTCATACCAACCTTGCACACGAAGAGACATGTTGAGTGACAAAATCTCACATTGAAGATATAATAAAAAAAAAAACATATGAGTTAAATATAAAGAGACTATTATGTGACAGAACTCAATGTTCATACCAGCTTTGCACACGAAGAGATATGTTGAGTGACAAAATCTCACACTGAAGATATAATAAAAAAAAAAACATATGAGTTAAATATAAAGAGACTACTCCTCTTATTACTAATTGATTTTAAATTAGATGTATGTCTTTGTATTGAAGCCCAAGTGTCCAATTTTCACACAATGTCAACTTTTTAATATGCCAAAATATTAAATGGTTGGTAATGATATGAGGATAATTTTTTATTAATTTTTCTTTAAATTTTCACATATTATTATTATATATATAATATTATGAATCCTAGTAAAATGAAAAGAACCCATTATTAAATAGAATATAAAATTAATTAAAAATTTTGTATAAAAAAATCATCTCTAAATGATTTTCCTAAATGATTTTAGCACATGTCATGAGAGACACACCACCTGAGCGTTAACATCCAATTCAACAGTCCCTAGTAATTTTGAAAACTATGCATCTTTAATTAGTAATTTATGAAAGTTCACATTCTTAGTTAGTAAAGAAAAAAAATTTGTATCTTTAATTAGTAAAAGTTTGTAAGTTTATATCTTTTTGGTACATAAACGA